CCCTTATGTTCTTTCACTGTGAGAACTTACATTTAGGTATTTGCATTCGTTAGGCACACGCCTTGTAGATTGCACATGCAGGTGCCAGGGGCAGAAGAGACAGAACACTTTTTCTGTGTCCTGCAGTTTGTCTTCAGACAGAGGAGCAGCCATTCACAGAGGGAGAGGCTGGGAGAGAAGACAGTCCCCCTCCTCTTCCCTGCCCCGTTCTCTGCTTCTCAGGGTTGAGCGTGCTAGGTGCCTTTATTTTGATGATATTGTGGGGGATGCCGCATAGCACTGAGCTCCCAGCTATGTCAGCCTAGATCCAATAATAAGAATCTTTTCTTTTCTGCCTTCTTTGTTACATTTGGGCTGTTTTCAAGGAAGGGCAAGAGCATTCCTATAAGCCTGCATCTTAGGGTGTTTGAAAAGCATAATCAGATTTGATTTATTATTCCACTCCTCCCTAAATGGAACAGCAATCTCGGGCTGTAACAGCTGAGGCGGACCCTGAAGCAGGTCACGGCATTACTTGTGTGCACACTGTTGGAGGAGTGCTGATTTCTGAGTTTTCCTTTGCCTCTATCATACCTGACAGTGCTGAGGGCGACATAGGTCCTTTAGGAGCTCAGCTTTTCTTTGTGAGTTACCAGTAACTTGTTGCTATTTTCAGAAATGTTAATCTTCCTCTGAATAGCATTCATAATTAAACCCAAATTTCACTCAAAGGTATCTTTTCTCAAAGGAACTAAGGCGGGTGGCCAAATAGCTCAGTGGATGAAAGCTGGCCAGGGCTCGATCCCTGGCATGCCATCCTGGCTCTGTCCCCCCAGCTCGCTGAGACAGCAGTTGAGATTGAGACTGAGACTGGGTGTGGTGGCGCACGCCTGTAATCACAGCACTTCGGAGGCTGAACACAGGAGAATCACTATGAGTCCAATCTATGTAGTGAGACCTTATAGACCCTGCAGACCCTTAACTAAAATACAAAAAAAAGGCATAGCATGTTCTGTTTTATAGAACAAGAAGTTAGTTTTCCTTTTGTCTTTACAAAGTGAATACAAAGATGTTGTTGAAAACACATCCCCATCGCGGGCCCATACTCCCAGTACTCTGGGAGGCCAAGGCGGGAAGATCCCAAAGTTCAAGTCTAGCCAGGGAAAATTAGTGACTTAACAATACCCCATCTCCAAGTTAAAGAAGGAGTTGGGGATGTAGCTCATTGGGAAGGCCTTGGATTTAATCCCCCATACAGGATTGGGGCTTCTGCTCCTACAGAGCAAAATTACTCTCTCTGTCTTTCCAGTTCAGAGTAATGAAAGACAGACAGAGAGACAAAGGACGGGTGAGTTGGGAAGGTAGTATGTTTGACTCCTGGTTGACTTTAAACTTCTATTGTATAAAGTTTTTCTGGATCTGTTGATCTCCTTTATTCCCAGCGGATGACCTGTGGTGGGATTTCTTGAGCAGGCTCTTTACTGACTCCTGCCTGCCTTTCATCTTGCTTCCCTCCTGCTTTCAAAGTGCTTCTCCACATTCATCTTAGAGAATCTTGTTTTCCAGCTATATTGAACTTGGATTAGTTCACTGAAATCAGAGTAATCATTGCAGATGTCCCCTTTGTACAAAAGGCCACCTCCTTTCTAACCAAGTCTTGTATCATAGCTGTATAGTTCAGGCTAGCCTGGAACTCACTGTGTAGCCCAGGCTAATCCTAAAGTCATAATGATCCTTCTGCCTCAGCTTCTTGAGTACTGGGATTTCAGTAAATCAGAAAAGACTTTAATATCCAGTAGAGGATGAGTGGGGGAAGTGTTTTCAAGGAGCAAGAGATGATTACACTGCAGGACTCTTAGAGGACATGTAAAATGATAACAAAAACCCTTTATTCAAGTCTCCAACTACATAGGGTCCTGTTACGCAGACGTGAAATTCTATAACTGGTTCTTAGGACCAGGACAGTCCATATAGTTTGGAAAATAATACTGTATTTGTGGGTGATTTAAATAGACATTAGATACATCATTTATGTAGATGCTGGATATTGAGCCCAGGGCCTCACACGTGCTAGACAAGCACTTTCCCACGGAGTTATATCCCCAGCTCAACAATGCAGTGGTCGTCTCTTTGCTTTTTTCCTAATCAAAAGAGTTAGTTTTCTGAGCCTTCTGATTAGGATTGTGGCTCCTGTCATTTCACAAGTCATTTCTACATCTCTCAGTTATGGATGTTCCCAGCAGGGTTTTAAACACATCACCACTATCACTGTAATACTCCATATACCTAGAGACAACATTCAGGAAGGGCAGACATTGTCAGGATTGTTTTCAAAGCTTGTTTCCTCTTATTTTCTTCTTCTGAAACCTTCTCCAGCTTTCTTGGTATGGAGGCAACACAGAATAGTAGGTATGAATTTCAAGGTGACAGCTAAGCTGACTTGTCAACAGAAAGTAGTCACTAGGCTAATCACAGTCTTAATCTTATTTCATGCATCCCTGCCTTGAGGTAGAAGTTTTCATTCATAATTTAGAGGAAATGAATAGTTACAGATTCAAACTTGCAAATATCTCAAAAGATGTCAAAGGATGAACTATGAAACTTACTGGATGTTAGGAAATACTTTGTAACATTGGCCAATTCTTGGTTATTGGTTGTAAAATTTTTTCAGAATAGAGCACTACCTGAAATTCAGTGTCAGAGAGTGCTTGCAGTCAACTCTGGATTCCCGACCTGAAAGCTCCTGGCTCTCAGAGCTATTCTGTGATAAAGCTGGCTGGTCAGGCATGCTGGGGAGGTGGAAGAGGGTAGGGCCCTCCCTGTCCTTGAAAGAGCGTTGCAATGACTGAGCATCCTTCCAAGTGATTGCTTTGTAGCATTTTACTTGTGCTGTTCTTGACATTGACATTCTTTCTACATTGCACTACAGCAAAGGGTCAGTCTTTAATTTGTCTGTGTTCTACCTATCTAACCCTCCTATGTTTTTGTGTGAACTGATAATCAGGAAGACTAGAGGAGTCAAGGAAGTGGAATGATTACGAAATTACATTTGAGGTTCAGATTGTCTGCTTTCTACATTTTTACATGATTGTTCTGAATTAAAACTTCTGCTACCTTTTCTTTCTGCAACTATGAGCTTTTCCCTGGAGTTTTGCAACACTGTATTTTCTATTCTAACTTTGTTTCTAATGAAAAAGTCCAGCAGGTTATTTATAGTAATCCCTACTGGGTCATTGGTATGTAAGCAGAATTAGTTTCATTGGAGAAAAAATCATAGAAGGACAACATGCTGTAGGGATATGACCACAAACTAATCTAAATTGAAGATATTAAAATTGCTTTAAAATATTCAAGTCTTTTAAGATTTTTTGCTGTTATGGTACTCCTACTTGGTGATATTATTTTAAAAGAGCAGTATAACTTTTAAAAGGATGGTTATTGGGCTGGGAAGATAGCTCAGTAGAATAAGCACTGTATGGCAAGCGTAAGGTCCTGAGTTTAATCCCCGGTACTGAAAAAAAAAGGATGGCTATTAATTGTTGTTTGTCTCAGGAAAGACAGATTTTACTGTATGTAATAAAAAAAATCAAAATCCCACTATGTACAGAATTAAAGATCCCAGTGACTTATATGATCCAGATGTGTATTTCTTTCTTGCTTGGATCCAGAGAAAGCTGTCTAGAGCTAGTCTGTTTCGACACCCGTCTGGGCTGGCCCACCCTCTCTTCATTGATGTGATGCCCCAGTGTCTAAGGTGGATGCTGGAAATTCTGACCTGCTTGTTTGGCTACCAATAGCAATGTATACCTGGCTGGGGGCACTATAGCTCAGGCATGTAAATTATCTATTGAAGGCAGGTTAGCTATCACAGTTATGAGGGAGGCACACACGCTAGATATTTATAAGCTGCCAATAAGCAACTTTCAGTTGGCTTGTGTGACATAAATTAGAAATCAGAATAAGTCATCTGTTGAAAAAACAAACCCATTTCTCCAACCCTCGGTAATGTCCTTCAAAGCTCAGACTCTACTCAGCGGATTAAAGTATCTGCTTAGGCAAATGCAAGACTGGGGTTCGATCCCCAGTGTGCCATGGTGGTCCCACCCCTGGGGCATGCTGAGAGGGACATTGAGACTGGGTGTGATGGCACATACCTGTAATCCCAGCGCTTGGGAGGCTGAAAATAGGAGGATCACTATGAGTCCGATCTGTGCAGTGAGACCCTGTAGACCCTGTACTAAATACATTTTTTTAAAAAAACTCTGACTCTGTTGCTGGATCCTGTTGTATTTTTTAATAAAACTGCTCCAACCAGAAGCACATATCTCAGTATGCTTTTCTCTGTCATTATATGAATGATGAAAGAATCAATAAAGACTGCCCTTCACTTTTTTTTTTTTTTTTTTTTGCGGAACCGGGGATTGAACTCAGGCCCTTGCGCTTGACAGGCAAACACTTATTCTACTGAGCCACCTCCCCAGCCCCTGCCCTTCACTTTTAAGAGACTGCCGTGATATGGCTGAGTGCCTCTGTAGACATCTTACTGCATTAGCCAGAACTTAGCCATGTGGCCAAGTATGTTTTCAAGGAACGTTGGAGAAGTAGTCTTTTTGAATGGAACATACTAGGCTTAGCAAAATCAAAGAGACAACAGGGTTTTTTGTTAGTAAAGGATGATGAATAACAAATTTTGAAATAATTCAGAAAAAATAGTGAGGGGCTGGGGATGTAGCTCAGCAGCTTAGCACCTGCCTGGGAAGTGTATGGTTGTGAGTTCAATTCCTGGTACAAAAAAGAAAAGAAAACATAGTGGGTATATGATCTCTTTCAACTTCTCAAAGATTATAAAGATAAAGCGTGCTGTATCATGACTGATTGCGTCCTACCTCTCTCCCCACCCCTCCCCCTCCTTCCTTCTCCCCCTTCCCCCCTTCCCCCCTTTGTCCCTGCCTTGGTACTTTATTGCCCTCCACCCCTTTTTCCAAGAACAAAACTAATCCTTCTGTCTTTTCTTCTTTTAGGACTTTCCGCGACATTTCTGAAGATCTGAAGTCTTCAGTTGACTGACATGGTTTCTTTAGGAAGTTCCACCTTGACAGAGAGTTCCACTCAGCTGGGGCCTTCTGTCCTTGCAGCTGGGCCTGGCAGCCAGCGCCCAGAAAAGGAGCAGAAGCTCCTGGCCTCAAGTGCAGAACCCCTGACAAGAGACAGCTTGCTGTGGGCACTTTGCATTTTAAAACACAGCTTGAGAGTTCAGTCATCTGTTCCCTCGCTTAACTGTTGCTACGATGGCTTCACAAGTTTCACTTTATACACTGGCTTGACTTTTTTTCACTTTATGTCTGTTATTATGATATGTACTTATAAAGTTATTTTAAGAACTCTAAACTACCTGCTGTTAAAAGAATATACAAAGTCTGGGGAGATAGCTCAGCCTGAGTTCCATCCCTGGTACCGCAAGAAAAAAGAGAAAGAAAGAAATACAGGACAAAAGGATGTACAGGGGCTGGAGATTTGGCTCAGCAGCACAGCACTGGCCTGGCAAGCTCAAGGTCCTGAGACTGATTCCTGAAACCAAAAACGAAAAAGGAAAAAAAAAAGAAGAAAAAAGAATATGCAATATAATTTCTTTCTCTTTACAAAATCTATTTATAGTCTTTTCCATGACACCTTTTAACAAAGTATATAGTTACATGAGCAGGAAAAATGAACCTCTGCCTTTTTGGCACAATGTGCTGACCCCTTTTTGACTAAGTGAACAAACCTTAGGTACAAGAGTCATGTGACTGACTTGATGTTTAGCTGCGTGTTGCATCCAGAGGTGACACAGATAGATGGAAGCCCCCGCCACAGCTCCCCTACGCCTCATTACAGTATTAGCAGACTTCCAGAACTTGGCTTACCACATCACATTAGAGTACTATAGCTGCTACAGAGGGTAATGATGTGATCTAAATCATGCTGTCATTACATTTTTTTTTTTTTTTACATATTTTAGGTAAAAAAATCTCAGGTACTCTGATTTGTTAAATGTATCCAATAGTATCTTGTATCTTCTGTCATTTGCGCAGTGCCTTGTACGTAGGATTCTAGATGAATGCTTGCTGAATTGAGTTGTAACTGAAAATATCTCAGATATTACAGTGCCCGACGTAATGCTTCACACTGTATAGTCCTTTTGTGCTTCTTAGTTCATGACCTCTTCACGTCCACTTTCCTGTAGCTTTTTGTTATTTTACTAAGTTTCCCAGTGATGGCAAGCCCTAGTGCTCAGCAAGGTGACATCTCGCGAGGCCCACATTTAGTGAGATTTGGAAGCTCTGCTCTACTAGAACATTTCTTGTAAGATTTGAGGCAGCTTTTCCTGTACTGTGAGCAGGAATAGGCGTTGCTGTCTGTTTGCAATGAACACTTAACTGAACAGTTAGTGATAGTATTGAGGCTTGCGCCCAGCTCTTGGATTTGTATCCTTTCTGCTGTTTAAAATAATCAGCAGACCCCTGATTCTCAAGGGACCATGGAGTGGAAAATGCGCTTTTGGAGGAACATTTAAAAGCAGAGATAGCTGGATATGGTGGTGTCTGTCTGTAGTCCCAGCACTTGGGAAGCTGCCGCTGGAAGATTGTGGTGAGTGTGAGGCCAGCTGGGGCTACAGAATGAGTTCAAGGCCAGTCCTTGTCTCCAAAAATAAATAAATGCAAGAATAAATAAAAGTGTAAGTAATTTTTTTTTTCTAAACAGTCTTACTAAAAAATTAACAATCTTCAGCTTACAATCTTAAATTTATTCTTGAAGGATATAGCTCAGCAGCATAAGCACCTGCCTGGCAAGTGCAAGGTCCAGGTTTTGATCCCTGATCCCGCAAAAACCAAACAAACAAACCATATATATGTATTGCTACTTAAGAAAAACACCATATAGGGCTGGCCATCAGCGGATTAAAGCACCTGCAAGCAGGCGCAGGGGCCAGGGGTTCAATGGGAGCAGGTTTCAATCCCAGGGCCTGCCATGCCAGCCCCGCCCCCGGGGCACACTGAGACAGCAATTGAGACTGGGCCTGGCGGCGCATGCTTGTAATCCCAGCTCTTGGGAGGCTGTAAACAGGCGGATTACTGTGAGTCTGATCTAATAGTGAGACCCTAAATGCCCTGTAGACCGTTCCCTAAAATACAAAAAAGAAAAACCCCATCTAGAAAAGGCTACATGATGACTTTTGTTACACAGTATGCTACATTAAAATTTCTTGTTCATATGAGTCCTTCAACCTGTATAATCTGTTACTTTGTCAAGTGTTAATTTGACCATTAATTTTTTTTAAGTACTTTTTTGGGGGGGGGGGCAGAACTGGGGATTGAACTCAGGCCCTTGTGCTTGCCAGGGAAGCACTTATTCCATTGAGCCATCTCCCCAGCCCAATTTTAACATTAATTAACTTATTCTTTTCAGTCAGTTTGGGGATCCATTCATTAACTCATTTCTTGAGAGTTTGGTAACCTCCAGGCTCCAAGCCAAGGACTGCAAGGCCGCTCTCACCTGAAATCTTAGCCAGATTATATATAATACTAAGTTTGAATGTTTTGCAAGGGCTAAAAAAAGAAATTAGGGTTTTGTGAACTATATACTGGTAAATATAGCTGTAATTAGCATATATTCTTAAGGCAAATATTTTACACAATGAATTAGTGGCCATATACAAATTATATTCCTTCAGAGTGCTTTTAGCTGCCTAGAGTAAAATTGTACTAAACTGAACTTGGCTGTTGCTGGGGTATTAGTATGAATACCAGGTTCTTGGAGAGGAAGGCTAAGCCCGAAGAGGGGAGCTTAGAGCTGCCTAAACAGCAGCAGTGATGTGATCCCAGCATTGCAGGAGCAGAGGGGCCCCCCCGCAGTGCACAGCTCCAACCAGGGGACTCCAACTGTTCCATTGTTTCAGTGACCGCCTAAGGACTAGAACCCTAAGGCCTGGTCTACCAGCTGGGGAGGCCCAAAACAGAGAGGCGCACCCACCCCGGCCTGTGTCCACAGGTACAGAATGGTTTCACAGAATGCTCACGGGGCATGTAGAGAGATCAGGTGATACGGAAAGTGCGAGAACTAAGGTGAGTCTGCATCAGAATTTGACCCAGAAAGAGCAAGTTTCCCTATAACCAGACAGTGCAGCAAAGAAGTACAAGTAGCTTTGGTAAAGACTGAGTACAGAAGTCTGTCACAGTGTTTTGCATTTTATTGGTCAAAGTTTAGTTTCAGGTTCACATTCACTATTCAGTTGGAAGCTGGATGGCTGGGGACAGGGTTAAAGTTCAGCACACACATACCATCTCTTTTCCAAGAGAGGACAGGGCATAGGACTTTCAGCATAAATTCCACATTGTGTTAGTCCTGCTTAAATCCCACAATGTATACCTGGAAGGATCTCTGTTAAGTTGCCTTTGATGCTAGTTTTAAATACTATTTAAAATTGAGGGTTTCCTAAACCCTCTTTGTGAGAGGTGGTTAACTGCCAGTTTTTCCTGTTTCTGAGACTAAGGTAGATTGACCTTTTTTTTTTTTTTTTTTTTTTTTTTTGTGGCCAGCTCAGCCCGCCCTGGGGGTGGGGCTGATGTGGCATGTGCTGTTGGGGATCAAACCGTACTCCCTGCGCTTGCCTAAGCTTGCCTAAGCAGGTGCTGTAGACTGCTGAGCTATCTCACAGGCCCCTTGAGTTGACTGTTGACTGTGGAAAGACACCCAAGATAGGGTATCTGTATTTGAAGATGCTGTATTTAAACAAACTGTAGTCTTTGGAGATGGCAGCCGCTTGTTCTTGTTGAAGAAATACTACAGGGCTTGCAAGTGAGGTCTGTGGTTAACCTTGTAACATGTGCTTTTAGGACTGTCCAGTACCTCTGGCTCCCACTTCAGTCATATTAGACCTTCTGGAGCCTGTCTCTGCTGGGCAAGAAATACTCAGAAATCCTGACCATGATGAGGTAGGTCAGAGCAAATTAATTTAGGTGAGCTATCCAAAACTTTTGACCTAAGGTTTAGGACCTAAAACCCTCAGGACTTCCTATACTGTCATCCTTTTGAGAATCTCCCAAGACCCTGTCTCAGTATTAAAACTAGGACTTTTGAGTGCTCTTTTTATACTGGAAGTAGCTTCTGTTCCCATCATGTTAGTTGCAGTTCTAAGCAAGAACTTCAGCTTTATAAATGTCTTCTTGGTTTATACATTTTGCCATCATACTACATTCATTTTATTATATTATTTGTTAGTGAGAACGTGGAAAAATACATGTATCTGAAGGCACTCAGCAGTTTTTTGATAAGAGTAATGATGAGAATTATAAGTCGAGATGGTCTCTCTAAGGCCAGGGAGATAGCTCAGTGGCTTAAGTGCTTGCCTGGCAAGCGCATGGTCCTGAATTCAATCCCTGGTACCAAAAAAAAAGATGGTCTAGTAGTTGTAGAAGTTCTGTGCTAGAATGCACCATATATAATTAAGTGATCCTATTGTTTTCCAGAGAAGGAAACAAATTTTTATAAAGGAACCTGAGGCACACACACACACACAGAGCTAGTTAGTAATAGTAATAAAATTCATAGGTAGAATAGTTCCTTTTTTCCATCACATTCAACTTCTCTTTTTTCTCATAATTGAGCAGCTTTTGGCAAAATGTTTTTGACATATTCTAAGAGATGTTAACAGATGTAAGAAGAAAAGGTTTTGTGTGTGTGTGTGTCTGTGTAGCCCATTGAGTAATGGTGATTTTTTTTTCCTTCCTTGGGACTTCTAAAAGTTTTTATCATACTATGATACATTATACATCTATAAGGGACAAAGTCTGTTTTGCTTTAGATTGCACCCCCTTCCTTTTTTCCTGAGTGTTTCAAGGGACCATGACCTGTAGGAAAGATGGCTCTTGATCAAGTGTACACCTTTTTAGGAAAGACATCCCAGTGGAATCACTGAATGGTGAATATCTTCCTCTAATACCACGCAGTCTGTAATAAATCTCACAGTTCGGTTTCATACTAGCAAGGAAACATATTTACTATTTAGATCTATATTTAATGGTAGAGAGGTTCTTTTCTACCTGTGGTGTGTACAATCACTTTGTGTTTAATTTGCAAATTTTTAAAGGATCAATTAATGAATGTGCAAATACAGTGGTGATACATTGATATAACATTTGAAGAATGCTTCCGTGTGGGTCCTTATCATTTTCAGATTCCATTGGGCACAGCCCTGTGAGCCTAGGCAGAATTGAGCACTGGAGACTCTGAAAGGTTTTTTTTTTTTTTTTTTTTTTCTTTTTTCATGGTTTTGGTTTTTGTTTTCTCCCTCTAAATTTGTATCACAAAAGAATGGAGCCAGAATTTGGTTGCAGATTACTGAGCTCAAGTCCAAGTTTCTTTACTTCATTGCCTGGTTTCTTACTGTTATTCTAGATTTATAATGCACAATGAGCCAGGTGTGGGGGCGCACGCCCATAATTCCATTACTCA